CCAGGGCAGGCATGTGCACCCCATGACGGCACCCGCTCCCCGCAGGCCCCTTCGTGGCGGTGCTGTTCAGCAAGCTGGAGAACATGCTGCACAACTCCCTGTACGTCAACGTGCTGCTGACGGGGCTGGTGGCCCAGCTGGCCTGCTACCCCCAGCCCCTGCTGCGCTCCTTCCTGCTCAATGCCAACATGGTCTTCCAGCCCAGCGTCAAGTCCCTGCTGCAGGTACCGTGGGGCCAGCTGTGCCGCGCCGCGCTGCAGGGGAGGGCGGGGGGGTCCGGCAGTGCGAGGCCTGACGCTGTCCCCCACGCCTGGCAGGTGCTGGGCTCGGTGAAGAACAAGATCGAGAGCTTCGCAGCCGGACAGGACGACTTCCCCGCGCTGCTGCTCAAGGCCAAGAAGTACCTGATCGCCCGTGGCAAGCTGGACTGGGGGGACACCCCCAATGCCGCCCCCGCCCTGCGCCGCTCCGACACTCTTGGTGAGCCCGGCTGGGGCGGGGGGCTGCGGGTATCAGTGCTGCTAGCTTTGGACCTGGGTGGGGAGGGAGGAGAGTCCCCAGGGGGGCGCCCCACTGTGGCCCGGCTGCATGCCCTGGCACGCAACACGCATGATGGCGCGGTGCAGTGTGTGCGTATGCCCGTGTATGTGCGCGTGTGTGCAAGCGAGCGCGTCCGCGTACGTGTATGAAGTCGCAGGCGTGCGCTTGCACGCACGCTTGTGCGCGTGCGCACGTGCTTTGTGCGTGTCCACGTTCATGCACGGACACGGGTGCGTACGCGCGGCGCCCGGCCCCACCTGACGCCCCCCGTTCCCGCTCTGCCCGCAGTGAAGAGCCGGAAGCCGTCGCTGGGGGAGCTGCTGCTGCGGCACACGCAGAGCCCGACGCGGGCGCGAGCCGCGGCGCAGCTGGCGCTGCAGCAGGTGCGGGAGGGCCCGGTGCTGCAGGTGCTGGCGGGCGCCGGGCTGTTCCGCGGCGCAGCCGAGAAGCAGGGCGAGGCGCTGCGGGTCAAGAACGCCGTCTACTGCGCCGTCGTCTTCACGGAGTTCCTCAAGGAGCTGGCGGCGATCGCCCAGGCCCACGCCGTCACCTCGCCCTTCCTGCTGGAGCCGCCCGAGGAGTGACTGGCCGTGGCCGTGGCGGCCCGGGGGCCGGGGGTGGGGGCCGCGCGGTCGGCCCTCCCTTTCTCCCCCCCGGCAGCGCCTCTTTTTAACTTGCCGCCAGGACACCACGGACCTTTTTAATTTATTGGGATGAATGTTCGCGGAGGGCGCGGTGCAATACGGCCGCGGCCCCTTCCTGCCCCTCCCAGGCCTGATGCTGGCCGGAGCCCACGAGTGCTTGCCCCCCCCACCGGCCAGGCCGAGCGGAGCCCAGCCACGGGCATGGTGCACTCCCTGCCCGGCCGGAGCTGGGGACCGCAGGGGCCAGGGGAGTAGGGCCAGGCCATGAGCGGGCTCAGGACTCCTGGGTCCTCTCCCTGCCCTGCAGCCGTGCCCCTGCCTCGGTTTCCCCGTCGGTGGGGGCCACGGCCCCTCCACCTGGGGCGTGAGTGAGAAGCCGGCATCGTTTCCCCCCCGGCGCTGGGGGGGACCGGGCACAGGGACCTGGTTGGGCCCTGGGGGCTGTCAGGGGGGCCCGGCTACAGGCCAGGGACGGGCTGGGCTCTGCCCGGTCCCAGGGGCGCCTGCCCCTATCACCTCTAGGCAATCAGCAGCTGCCCCTGGGTCCTGCATGGGGGTGGTGTGGTGGGGCCCGTCTGTACCCTCCCCTGGGGAATAAAGGACCTGCTTGGAGGCAGCCACACGCCTGGGTCTCGGTCTGCTCCGAGGGAGGCCCGGGGGCGAGAGCTGGGGGTGGGGGCGTGTGACCGCGTGCCGGCGTCCCGTGTTAGTGTGGCCTATGAGGGGGGCCCTTCCCACAGGACACGGACGCGGCGTCGTGTGATGTTGGCCTGTATTTTGGTGCCCGTCCTAGTGCCACGAGGGCTCAGGGGTCGCTGTCGGAGTCGGCGGCCAGGCTCTGCAGCAGGGGCAGCGACATGGAGTGCCGGTCAGGCTCCCTGCGGCGCCGGCGTGGCCACCAGGTCCGTGGCCGGGGCTCGGCGCAGGCCGGGGGCAGGGGCCAGGCCAAGCGGGCAGGCAGAGCGCGGCCCAGC